GACCACACACACACACGCACACACACGCACACACACACACTCACACACACACACACTCACACACACACACACACACACACACACACACACACACACACACACACACACACACACATGCATGCATATATACAGTAAACACATACTGTATACACAAAAAACTGAGCATATATAAAAACTTTCCCTGTAATATGATAGTTTAAGAGAATTAGATTTTTTCCATAAGTTACAGCCACAATAAAACACACACACACACACACACACACACACACACACACTTTCTGCAGTACGTCCCTTGCTAGAGGGGGACCAAAAATAATAACCTACTACTAAATTGACCCATTTTTCATACTTATTTTGGGATTCACTAGAACATAAAGTGCTTGTTGATTGGTCTAAAACAATGTGTAAAATAACATTAACACCATCTGGCAATTCTCACTATCAAAGTTGCTTTAATCCAAAACAACTTCCTCATCCTATAAACACACGGGGACCACAGTCTAATCAAACCGTTGTCTCCGGTATTTATTTTGCTGCTTTCGTTATAAACTAATATTCGTGTTCCTCAGCCGGAGTGTGTTTGGCACAGAGAGTGGGATGTCCGCAGCACAAGCACAGCAGGCCCTGCCTGGCATGGCTCAAGGATTTGGAGGTGAGGGAACCTTCTGTTTTCTGATGCTTTGTGACTACTGTTCTCCAGATAAACAATCTGTGATCATTCAGAAAGTGAATTGGGAAACAAGAGGAAATCCCAGCAGTGTAATATCAGTCATTACAGCTACACTCAGTGGGTGGGAATCGGCAGTTGACAAATTCTGTTCCCTTTTGACATTAGTTTTTGTGATGCCAAAGACGAGATGAAGAATTGAATCTGTAAGAAAATGGGCTATAACGTTTTCTATAGCCCACATGTTTTTATTGCAAGTTGTTGCATAATGTACAAAGCTTTTTTTATTCATATAAGATCAATATTTACAGATAAGGTGCAAGGCTTGAAGCATAAATGGATAGGGTGCAGGATTTAGGCATATAAGTTAAATACAGTCTTAATCAATATTAAACACAGAAGTCAAAAGGGGACATTGCTGAAGAATATCTGTCCTGTGAATCATTGCTTTGGTTTTACCATGGTAACGAGCAATTCACTGTTCTGTATAATCCTCTGTACATGTTTGGTGACCTCATACCTCTCTCCAACAGCTCAGTCAACCAATCCGTTTGTCGCGGCCCCGGCAGCCCCTCCCACAAACCCCTTCCAGAGCAACGGCAGGGCGGCCCACATGACGGCAGCCGCCGCCGCTGCAGCAGCAGGTGTGTTGTGGTGCAATGCTACAGAATCACAATCTAATGTATGCATCAATATTGTAGATTAAAATCGTTTTAGCACAGAGGCAACCGATCAGGGAAAAATTAGAAAACGTTAATATAGAAAAGTGCTGAAAAGTAATTCTGCCCGCTGTGAAAATGGGCATCTGCCGTTAAGTGGTGTGTGTGTCAGAGATGTGAAAGTTACAGCAGAGTTTCAGTTTTCTGTCTGATTGCTCTTGGCATGCTGCACAGGCCTTATGGGGGTAATTCATGGGCAGGGTTACCCCCCCACCTTTGGTAGGTTCACTTGTGCTCACTGCTTCCCCTTCTGCTCGCCTGTGCCTTGCTGTTGCAGTGCTTTCTTCTTCCTTCAGCATATCTATCAGGAACATGTTGACAGTCAGAATAAGGGTGTGACGAAACACTAGGTAACTGGTTGGTATTAGGATGCTCAAATCTGAGTGTCAAATGAATTCTGCTACTTGAATCTTTAAAAAAAAATAACAAAACGAAAAAATAATGTATTGAAGTCAATGGAGAGAGAAAGATTATCTTTCCATCCCGTTTGAATTGTGCCACGAATTACACATATGATGTTTGTTAATTTAAAAGATAATTTTGAAAGTCAAAAAAATTAAAATGTGTCGTAAAACAGTGAAGTAACACTTTTTGTTTGTGTGAAACCGCTCAATGAACTACATCTCCCGTCTCGCACCACACACCAAGACGGCCGTCACGTTGGCACATTTCACTTCTTTCTTTCAGAATGAGGCGAAAAGTATTAAAAGATGTGAAAATCACTCCAAGTCTGGGCATGTTGAGAGCTGTACATACACACAAGGGGAGTTAGTCGGTTCCCTAAGAGCCAGCATGCGGGACCGGGATTCTGGGATTTGTAGTCTTTCTAGTTGCGTATTTTTCATAGTCTTATATTTCAACAGTTTTACGACAAACTGTGACTTTTTTTACATGGAAATGATTTTTTAAGATTGACAAACATCATATGTGTAATTCATGGCACAATTCAAACGGGGTCGAAAGATAATCTTTCTCTCTCCATTGAATTCAATACATAATTTTTCCGAAATAAGGTCCCATGGGGCGGAAGTAGATGGGCGGGACTTCGCCTCTCTATCTGTAATCACTATTTGTTCATTCTCACTCATTTAAGTTTACTAAATGAGTCAAAGGAACATATGAGTGCTTTGCTTCCTAACAAACTGTCATAACACATTCATTTTTACATTTTATAATGTCTTATGTGTGGGTGTGCTTTAAAATGCTGTCGTCATTGTTTTTAAATACAATTATTTCTACTGTTATTTAGTGTATGCCTGTTGACTGACTGTCCTGCTTTGTTGCAGCATCTTTCGGCACAGGCTCCATGAGTATGCCCGCTGGATTTGGGAATGTGGCAGCCTTCAACCTCCCCACCAGCTTCAGTGGAACGTTCCAGCAGCCGTTCCCCGGGCAGGCCCCCTTCCCTCAGCCCCCGGCGTACCCCCAGCAACCCAACGGTGTGTGTTACTGTGTGCATCATGTAGATATAGACGTATCTGTAATAACAACTACACTGAGTTTCAAGCTTGCAAGGGCTTCTGACATAATTGCACCTGCATTGATTTAAAATGCCACCATTCAATTAGGTTTGTTTACTTGAACATGAGTAAAGGATTCCCAGTCAAAACCAAACATGGAGAAGCAGCGTTCTGCTATTATGCTCCAAATATCTGAAGCATAATAA